AGTCAAATATTTAGTGTACTCGGACTGTGAATCTGAGGATTGACTTTTCGCGTTCCGTTTCGGAAAAATATTTTCGAACATAACCAAAATGCTAACGAAACTAACTTTTAATTAATTATTAATTATTTTGTTATTACTTACAAAATTCATTAAAAAAAGTAGTTCTTACCAGTAAACAAAAATTTGTATACACTTGAAAGCGTTCGGTGTTTCAGGAAGTACAATTCCAACAACATAATTCCTTCGATTATTTTAAAAACTAAAACGCAAGACGCATATAAAGCGACTCCTGTTGATTAAGGTTAAGGTTAAGGCCTAAGGTTAAGGGCGACTGATTTACATTAATGCAATAGAATTTATCCAAGGTAAAAAAAGGTATATCTATAAATGTAGAAGAAAAGTACTTAGGCCTAAGATTAAGTATTAGTTGTTATTTCTCTTAATAGATGGCGAGATTACCGGATGGAAGAAGTTCAGTTTCCAGGATGTCCAGCTCCACAAACTTTGTCTGCAAGCTGGTAACTTTGTCCAGAACATAGATAATAGCCGGAACAATGAAAAAATACCAAAACCGTGGAGGCTACGGAAAGAGAACATGTTATTGACATGAATTGAAACAACTAATTCAGAAACTACTGGAACCTTGAATTTGAGGAAGACCCCAATGAATTTCAATTACTTCAAAAATTATAATCAGATCTATAACGGAAAGACCTGAATCACCATTAGAAACGCTTAAATTATCTAATGGAGATGGGGGGTGAGTAAATGATAAATAAGCTATTAATTAATGCAAGACAAATGGCTGAATATAGCTCCATCTACCTAAGCAACAAGTAGTTATCACAATTATGAATTCACCTTAAACAGAGTTTTAAAAATCACACAAGTAAAGCATTGTTTTAACCTACTTCATCACAGGAGTGAGTAAACTAACCAGTTTTCAAGGTTAGTTCTAACAAATTACTAACTCGGCTTCTTTAAAACCTTCCAAGTATTCCAAATGGATTATAATGCAAGCACGCGACCAGGCAGTTGGCCA